TGAGGGGGGGGGAGATGTCAGGCTCTGGGGGCCAGTGGCATTGCAGCGCGGTTCTGCACACACCAGCTTTCTCGTCAGATTACCCAGAGCGGAGGAAATTGTCCTCGTCGGGAGAGGCTGGATGCAGGAGTCGCCGTGCCGCCCGCCGAAGGGTCCCACCCCTCGTGCTGAGTGGCACGGAGACTCTGGAGGGAAGTAGTTTTGCCCACGTGCAGATACAAGGCAGGCGTCTGGCTTTGGTTACTCCGCCGCGCCGGCCCCAAATGAGAAAAACAATTACCGATCGGTTACATGGTTAACTGCTCCCCGGTCTGCCACGGCTCCTGGCCCCGTGTGGGGCTGGAGCGGCCTGTTAACCAGCTAACCGGTTACCCGTTCGCGGCCCTAGTCCCCAGTGAAGGGGACAGACCTCGCGTCCCTTCCTACAGGCAGGACTTTGGTACATTGTTGGGGTGTAGAGAGACTAGACCGTTCTGGAGCTGCCTGCTGCTGCGTCCCAAGGCCGGGCCGGGCGCCGGGATCGCGACCGTGCTGTGTGGTGGCCCTGGCAGGGAAAAGCGTTTTTTAATTCACTCCGTTCTGAGTGAACATGTATCTGTATCAAAGAGCCATCCGTGCTGCTGGTGCTGCGCTCCTGAGGGGAGCCTGTGCAGAGAGGCTGCGTCCGGAGAGCAAACTCCTGTCACCCCTCGGCGGCCTATGGCTTGTCCTGCTCCAGGGAGAGAGGGGAGTCCTGGGGCCGTCGGGCGGTGAGTTAGCTAGTTCTAACGGTTCCCCCGCACTCCAGGGGGTTACTGCTCCCAAATAGGTCCTGTGGGCTGAGAGATGGCAGAGCCCATGCTGTCTGCACTTCACAGTGCCCAGAAGAGAGGGGCTGTTCCCCGGTTCTGTCCTTACTTAGCCACCCCCAGACTGTGCAGCCACCCTCCGCCGCCGAGCGCTGTGATACTCGTATCAAGGGCAGCGGGGCAATCTCAGCTTACCAGAGAGTGGCCTGCAGGCCAGCATCAGCCGGGAAGGCTCCATCTTGGCATAGCTGCGGATGCTGGAGACGCCTGCGGGCCGGGGCTCCGGAGTCAAGATGAGACTGGCTGCCTTTGGCTTCATCAGCTGATGGAAGTGCAGCTGTCACTAGAGCCCCCGCTGTCCTAGAGCCAGCACTGTTCCCTGCCAGGTCCTCGTGTGGTCCAAGTGCCCTCTCTTCCCTGTGCATGGGTAGGGCCGACTGCTGCTCCAACCAAGGTTTCTCCCTCCCTTTCGCTGCTGGTATTTATTAAGCCCAACCGTCGGATGGTTTCGTTTCTCTGGGGGCAGGCCCCGTCCTTGCGGAGACGGGCGTTGCTGCATCTCTTGAGCTTGGTGCCTGCAGTGGCCTTCCTGTTTGTTCTGAAGCGCTCACTTTCCGCGGGAAATGCCTGTAGGCTTCATAACTGGGTTAATCCACAAGCGGTCAGCTGTGAGCTGGAGACGAGGGATGAACAGGGCAGTTGATTAACCGATGAACCGATAAGCAACAGTGTACAGGTTAATGCGATAGCCTACACACATTTCCCTTCCCCACCCCCCCCTAGACAGGGGCTGCTGCCGCCCCACAATGCTGCCTCTGTATCAGAGGCAGCAGCACAGAGTGGCAGGGAGCTGGGTCCCCAGAGGGACCTGGTTTTTAAACTGGCTCCCCTCACGGACCAGCTCCCACCTGGCCCCCTGCGCAGAGTGGCAGGGGACTCCTCGGGGGTGGGGCCGGAGCGCACAGGTCGACTAACCGATAAGTAGACTAGTCAACTAACTGAGAAGAATTCATGAGGTGACTCGACTGTTCAGTTAACCAAAACGTAACCTCCCTACTGGAGCCGAGGAGGAGCATCTGTGGGGGGCAGCCCGTTCCGCTCCACTGGAATTGTGTGGAACGCACTCACCGCATGGGCCATGCTTTTGAAAGGGTGTGACGTTGCTGTTGCAATAAATCATAAACATGACCTCTTCCTCTCATCCCTCTGGGCTTGCCTAGGGCTCTGCCGCTCGTGCTTTGAAAGCAGGATTCATGGGCAGTGGGTGGCGATAGTGCTTACTCCGCACCTCCAGAGCGGCAGCAAAACAGAGCTGCTCAGTGGTGAATGTTCACCCTCTCCCCCCAAAAATAAACTGTACCAGAGTGCAGAGGGGACCTGCCCCGGGATTAGCATCGCTGGGGTAGGGACTGCCGCCCTGCTCCCAGCTTGAGAGGTCAGACTTACTGTAGGCCCTACGCCAAACTGCACCTCCTGCGCAGGCCCTTGAAGCATGGGACTGCCCGAAGAGCGCAGTTCTGCACAGGTTTTACTGCAGCACTGCTGTGTTTGATTACTGGCGGTAGTGGGTCCCCGCCTTATTCCACGGACTATGCTCCCTGGGGCAAAACGCCCATGGTGCTGCCCACCAGCCGCGGGGTGAAACTGTTGACTTCCTCGTCCCTCCTCTGTGCCCTGGCAAAAGAAAATCCCCAGGTTTTAATTGACATTTGTCAGTCTGCTTCTGCTCTGCCACGCTCTCCAGCGGCGCAGCAAAGGTCTTATGTGCCCGGGGCCAAAGGCAAAATTTATCCCCCCCCCTCCCCCCGAGGGGGCAAATCAGTCCTACCCATTCCAACCCACCTGAGCCCGCAGCCGGTGCTGCTGTGGTCTGGACCCTGGGATCGCGGAGCTGCGGCCTTTGCTAGACAGCGAAATACAGGTCCCGGCGGAAGGTGAGACGAGGTCGATGTCTGAACGCAGCCCGCCCTGCCAAAGGGGAAGCGGCGCCCTTGGATTCCTGTTTCCTACACACAGTGCGGGGTTGATGTAGCACATCTCAAGGGGCCACAGAAACCCGTAGGAGCGCCTGAGAGCGCGCCCGCAGGTCGGCGTGTGAAACCAGACCCCCCGCCCGGCCCGCGGAGGGACCAGAAACAAGAATTACGATTTCCCGGGAACCAGCCCCTACTCCGAGCTGAATTATTGAAAGCGTCTGGGATTTTATTTGACCTAAATCACCCGTTGATGTAGCACATCTCAAGGGGCCACAGAAACCCGTAGGAGCGCCTGAGAGCGCGCCCGCAGGTCGGCGTGTGAAACCAGACCCCCCGCCCGGCCCGCGGAGGGACCAGAAACAAGAATTACGATTTCCCGGGAACCAGCCCCTACTCCGAGCTGAATTATTGAAAGCGTCTGGGATTTTATTTGACCTAAATCACCCAGGAATTTATTTTAAAACAAGCCGCTAAAAAACCTGGGAGCCCCCCATTCGCTCGAGCGCGCGGCTCTTCGGCTTTATTCGCGCCCGAATCTCATTTACGCTCCTGCGCGGATGAACAGGTTTGAAACCAGCCCCACCAGGAAACTTTCTGCCGCTGAAGGAAAATGAGAAGCAGAACAGGGGCCTTTCTGACCCAGCCCAGCCCAGCCGGTCATCCTAGTGTGCGGCAGGAGCCGACAGACGCAATTGCAGGGGTAGCAAGAGCCAGGCCACCGGCCTGCAGGGAGAGATTCCACTCCCAGACCCTGGAGCGTTCAGCTAAACTTTTGGCAGCTAAATTGGTGCCCCCCTACCATGGCCCCCGGGGGCAACAGCCCCCTCCCCACCCCTCCTCACTATGCCATTGTAGCTCCCTTCTGGGAGCTCTCACTTCTGTGGCTTCATTCTTCGCTCAGCAAGCTCTTGGCCCAAGATGCTGCCTGAGTTCTCTCCCTCTCTTTTCCTCCGCAGGGGACACTGCCTTTTCTGCCGTACACTGAATGTTGAGAAACGTAAAGGGAATCCCATTGGGAAAAATAATCCCAGCTCGTGGATGTTTCCAAAGAACTATCCACCAGGACTCCAAAATCTCTCTCTCGAGTGGTGTTAGCTAAACTGGTCTCCATCACACTAGCTACGTCTAGACTGGCATGATTTTCCGGAAATGCTTTTAACTGAAAAGTTTTCCGTTAAAAGCATTTTCGGAACAGAGCGTCTAGATTGGCACGGACGCTTTTCCGCAAAAGCACTTTTTGCGTCTGTGCCAATCTAGACGTGCTTTTCCGCAAAAAAGCCCCGATCGCGAAAATGGCGATCGGGGCTTTTTTGCGGAAAAGCACGTCTAGATTGGCACAGACGCAAAAAGTGCTTTTGCGGAAAAGCGTCCGTGCCAATCTAGACGCTCTGTTCCGAAAATGCTTTTAACGGAAAACTTTTCAGTTAAAAGCATTTCCGGAAAATCATGCCAGTCTAGACGTAGCTAGTGTGATGGAGACCAGTTTAGCTAACACCA